AACAGCAAGGACCAGGAAAAGCATCCATCTACCTCAGGTCAATGGTAAAACAATGGGCAAGTGTTAAACACAAAGTTACCACTGCCCCATGGCTTTTTCTCTTTCAATATGGCCACAATTGCTCATGGGTCTGCTTGTCCCAGCACTGAGGCAAATTATCATTTATTTATGTATGGTCTCCCTTCTGTATGCTCTGAGTCTCACGCATTTGCCAAGCATCAAGGAAGCTCCTACCTGCTTTGAGCTTGCTTTAAATCAAAGATGAGTAACACTATGAATAGGTGAGAGCTTTTATCTTGTTTCTGCATCATGTCAGGCCTGAATGCAAATTCCCACTCCCAAGGGTATCTCAGCAGAAGTGAGAGGAAGAAAACAGAACATCTGCAGTATTTTGCTGGCAATAGCCAGGGCAAACATGGTTGAGTGGGCTATGCCAGTAGTAAAACATGTCACAAATACACATCAGAGGAGTGGCCACTACAAGGAGTGGCATACAGGTTGATATCCTTGTCACATTCACCCTGGATGCATATTACCACAACTGCTGTCCCTGCTACTGCTATGTTAATACCCTGAAAGTCATTGGGAGCTGCAAATTCAATTAGAAAGATATTTTACAACAGTTTTTGTAGGCTGGAGGATTGTAAATTTTTATTCCACTATAAAATGCTTTAAAATTAAGTAAACAGGGCTCAAAACTCTCAAGGAGAATTGCCTTCTGCATGTATTTAATTACACACAGTGTAACACGTATTAAAATTTAGGAGACAGAAGGGAAGTATGTCTGCCTGCAACAATTACATGTGGAATAAAAGCAGATCAATACTGCCCCTTTTCATGTCGATGACTTTGTATAAAGTCATGGAAGACTGCCACAAGAAGTAGTTATTACTGCTACTACAGTGCAATATTAAACAGTGGTCAAGGAAAAGAAGCTTTTGATACAGAAATAGTCTGCAAAATACAGGCCTCCACTGTCAGGGTTCCAGTCAGCTACCTGTTCTTCACTATAAAAATAGGATGATATAATGAAATATAACAGAATTGGCTGTTGTTATCCGTGGCATAAATACCAAAAAAAATTGACATTAATAGCAAACTAAGTCAAATAATGCATTTTCTTAGTGCTTCTAATGGTTTTCTCATGCTGAACTGATGGCTGGTTGTATTCTCCTCAGAAAGCAGATTAATGTGTTCAAAGGAGACAGACAGAGGAATACCAAATTAACTCCTCATCTGTGGGCTGCAATTTACCTGCTAATTTTGCACACATGGATGACAGAATATTGATCACACCTGATTTCCCAGGCTAAGGCTGCAAGGAGGCTACTCCAGCAGACTCAGGATGAGTTCATAGCAGGAAGGGCAGAAGTTGCTTTAAGCTCTGAATGATCCCCCAAAACTGGCAAATCTCCCAAAAAGACTGTCCAGCCCTCGGTTCTGACTTCATGAAAACCCTTTTTGTTCCTGGGAACATGCTCACTGCAAACTCTCTGCCCATGAGGCCAAACTGTGCAAGTGTCTGTACTGAATGTAAGGACCCTGGAAGAACGACAGTCAAGCTCCTAAGCTGCATGCCACAACAGTTTGTAGGATTCAAGATAAAATGGATACTTCTGTTAATCATTGGATGGATCAAACTTTATATTCCTGCATTTGAAGAGTGAGGACCAGAGCAGAGCTTGTCTTGTTGCATGTGTTTAGGCAGGAGAATGGAAAGGATCAAGAGTAGGGGTTCTCTCTGGCAATGCCTTTTTGAAAGAAGCTGTTGCATTTACTGGAAGTCCAGGGTGAGTCCAAGCCTGGATGCAGAGCTGTATCTCTTGCTCAGTCTGAGGCAGATACTTCTTCCTGGCAACACGCAGGTCCTCTGCATCCTGCCACTATCTGTTACCATACCTGCAACACATTGCTTATTCACATTCGACTCCCATGTCTGCCCAGCAATTTTTGTTGTCAGGGGTCTGATTCCAGGGTTGTCGTGTTTATATCCAAAGTGAAGTTCATGCTCCCCGAGTACAGACACCCTACCAGTGCTATTATTATTTCCTGGACACCTCAGTTACTTAGCACAATATAATTGCACATTATAAAATCACAGCTGGGCATCCAGTAAAGTAACCCAACAACAATTTACTAGTAACATGAGAATAATTCTTCCAGCTACATGTTGTGTTAATGGCTGTAGGTCACAGTGGTATGGGTACTCAGCTGTGGCTCTTTCACAGGCCACCATTGTCAACGACAGCACCTGGTTGTTCAGAGCTCTCCAAAACAAAATTTGCAAAGGGAGTCTCTTTTATATCAGTTTGTTTCCCTTCTTTGTTCCCTTTTGCCTGCTTTTATAATATGGAGTCTACAACTGATTTGAGACAGCAAAGAGGAAATAGCAAATGCTATTTCTTAAGGGGTTTTGGCATTCCAGTGTTTCCTTTAGCCATTGCTCTGTTACAGAGAACACATTTTGGTTTGGTACTGGAAGGTCTCTTAAGTGGGGGTCCAACAAGCAGACCACATTTTTTTGCATGCATTTTCTTTTCCCTTCCTTTGTAGCACTGGATGCAAGCTTTGTTAAGGCCAACACTGCTCTGAAAATGTTATATATATATTTCGTGGTTGCTTAAGCTACAGCTCTTTTCAAAATCAACACCAACACCACAAGAAGGGCCTGGTCAAAGATTATCTGATCTGCAGTTATCAGGATGCCAAGGTCAGTTTGAACTGGAGGGCTCCAAGTTTTAATCACGTCTCCTCCAACTCACTATTAGTCACGGGGTAGAAACTCGTTGCTGGTAGTAGGCACACAGGGTTAGATTTTAACTCACTTTTGCAGCATTGTGCACCCCTAGATCCTCATTGCATTCTGCAGGTTAGAAGCCAGCTTTTCCACAAAATGACATAATATTTGCTTTTATATCTAGCAATTTTTCTGAAGTCTTGCTGTTGTTCAGTGCAAATAGTTTAGTCAGCAATGTCTACAGCAACAAAAGAACAAATTTTCTCAAAGAGCAAAGCTCCTATGGTAAGCCTTCTTCCTGTGTATATGATCCTAAGATGACAAATTTTACATTAGCTCCTTAAGGTGCCTTTTCTCTAAGACACGTATATAGATATGTATGTATCTGTGTCAGAATGGCTTATTAGAAAGGTACACCCTTCCAGCCATGCATGGCTGAAATCAGTGAGGAAGAAGCATCTAATGTGCATGGACCAAGTCTGGCTGTTTGGGGCAGTGTTGCTTTGCATCAGGACAGTTAAATCAGGGGTGCTTCTTATAATGCTGTGTCATTTCTCCAATCACATTTTTTCACTCCTAGGAGCTGCTGTGCCTATTAGAATAGGGGATCAGCTCCAGAAAGGATGCTTTGAGGGTTGAATTTACCCAAACACCTTGGTTTGTACTGGTGGGACTGATAAAATGCATGGTTTTCAGAATTTTCCTGATTTGGGACTTAAATAAGCACCAACAATAATGCCTAGAGTAGCAGTATCTTCCTTCAGGCTCCTTCCTTAAACCCCTTTTGTTTTGTCACGTAGTACAAAAAGCAGCTCTCAACTTTAGGACATTGCCTAGAAACCACTTAGGCTTAATCTATAAATCAGTGATGATGTTTCTCAGCACCTGCTTTGTTATCAAGAACACATGAACATAAGCTGGCTCTGGTGTGACACGGTCACAAAATATAACTACAGGTAGTTACCACAAAAGATCTTTTCCAAACTCTTTCTGAATTTATGGTGTTTTTCAGCAACAAACAGAATTCAGTTCCAGTGAATGACATAATAAAGTGTTAGAATGACAGCATCGTATCTGATGATACAGACTGAAACAAATTTGAGGTTAACGAACAGATGGAAGAATGAATGGAAATGGAATGTGATTCCTATAAGTTCTATTTCCCTAGGGTTGAATGTACATTCAAACCATGTTAGATATCTCCCTGAAAAGATTATGCAGTGGAGGATAAATAACTAATAATAAAAATGAATCATGCAGTGACGTGTGTCTTTAAAGATCTCGCTCTGACAAATAAATCTGCTACAACCAGCTTCTACTTAATTCTTAATATACAGCAGGAAATCCATATTGGAATCAAGTATTTGATTCAATTTTACGGCCATCAGAAAACATATAATACACCTTCCTGCAGACTCGTGTCAAATAAAAATCAGCAGTAGAAGAAAACTTACTGTATTCTGCGATGAAATTAAGTAATGGCATGTGTTACTTCATGAAAAACATGAGATGTAAACGTGATCAATACTGCTTCTATTGGTCGCTCATGCTCTATATGCTAGCTTTTTACTAAATCATACATGACCAGAAAGGTACATGCAAAAGGTGGTTGCCTTTTTTAATGGAAAGGAAGTCCAAACCAATGACTATTCTGACTCTCACATGATTTTGTGTTTCTTTCCATTGGTTTGGTGTATGCATTTAGGAATAGACAAACACGATTTTTACATTAAGAAAATTAATCGAAAATGCAGACCCTATCAGCTGGTGCTGTGTTATGCAACCATATAAATCCAACAACGAAATACATACAAAAATATTATTGGGGATTGGAGATACAGGATGCTGCTTCGGGATTAATACAAGAGCATATTTGAGAAGGAGCATAGATATCCTATGACATTTCCAAAATAAACGGGATCCTGTCAGTTATATGGTACACCTTGACTAGATGTGTGCAGATAAAGCCCCAAATTCACAAAGCCCCATTTCACTTAAAGACAGGTAAGACCCTAATTATGGTGCACAAAGTGGTCGCTTGAAGTACTGCGCTGGCCCAGCAAAGGGCATCACACACTGTGTTTGTGGCCCAACAGGAGGTCGGTTTGGGCAGGAGTGCCCTGGACTTCTCTGCCACCCAGCACCCCATACCCTGAGGCTGTGGCTGCAGGAGGCTGCGCTCAGTCACTGCAACTGATTTATCTCACATTATGTAGCTGTGCAGAAAGGTCAGAAAAAAAGGAGTAGCATCAGCTCTTCTTACCTTTTACTTTGCTTTCATTATTTTTCCTTTATCACTATAACCTTGTCTTCAGCAATCGAAAGGAGAGCAAATACATTTCCTCCTATGCCTCTTGAAGACGGCTCAGTGGGTCAATTTTCACAAGTACCCATCAACCAGGAGCAGATCGGGTGGATCAGCGTCTCTCAATCACAGTGCTGCGCAGCAGGATGACTTCCACAATGCTGTAAACATGGTAGACATTTCAATTTGATTTTCATTTTCCTTGAGCTTCAAAGTATTGGCATCTATCACCTCTAAAGACACCAGCTACTTTTTTCACCACTCTGTAGAGACGAAGAGGGTTTGTTCCAGCAAAGCCCCCTTAATATGAGAGAATGCATATATGGCAGGAAAAAAATCCTCCTTGCCTTGAACATATGGCTGTCCCAAATATGGATTGGGAAAGTCCCAGAAATGCAGAAATTTTATTACAAAACAGGAAAAATACAGACGATGCAGCATCCTGCAGCACATTAACACAGATGCCTCTTTATAAACACAACATCCCAGAAAAATCTCAAAAAGAATTTTGTTGGTAAAGATTTTGGCTGTTGGGAAAAGGCAAGCTTAGAAACTCTTAGATAAAGCTCACCATGTAGGGTAAATGGATCCCACTGAGTGCAATGCATCTCTAGGCAAATTTGCCTTCATAATGCCAATGCACTCTTCTGAAAGCATAACTGGGACTTGAGAGATGCAATAAGCCCTGCACTGCTGCTGTATGCATGGACCAATTTAACTCATCAGCTTGATCATGAGAGCGTGGAGAACTATTTTGTGGCTTAGTATGAATCTTCCAGTAAATCTGACATATGCTAAAATGCTCTTTTCTTTTTAATGGAAGGCAGTTCAATGAAACGGCTTAGAAAACAGACAAACCAGCCTGCTTGGAGAAAAAGGTATTCATTGTCTTTGCTGGAGGAAGAGATCACAGGCAAGGAAAACCGCAGTGACTTTCTGCACCCTCTCAGGGATTTCTGAAATGCAGCACTTACTCACTTACTTACTTGCAAATGAATTCCTCTAGAAGGGGGTTCCACTCTGTTTTTTCAACTTAGAAGTCACAGCTCAACTCTGGAATATGCCTCAGTGTTCTAACTGAATTTAAATGTACGGAGAGAAGGGTACAAGATCACATAGAAATCCAGACTCCTGAGCTCCCCTGGCTGTAGTCACGCCTTCTTCCCGTTTTATAGGATCCTGTGAACATAAGTTATAATCATAAAAATTATCTTTGTAAGAAGGCCATTTGTCCATTCCTTCTCTCTGCATTTAATCCACTCACAAAATGATGGGAAGGGGAAAATGAAAACAAACCCTCCTGGCCCCACTATTAATTTTCTGCCATCTTTGTGAAATACAGAAATCAGGGGCAGGGAAAGGGGTGAAAGCTACAGGAAAGAGAAAGAAATCTCTTGTACATGGGAGCAGAAATTACCAATGCCCAAAACATCCCCCTGAAATACAGGGAAATCATCTCCTCAGTTGAGGTGGTTTAAATCAAATCAAGATCAAACGGTTTATTGATTTATAGACAGCACATAAATAACTGCTACTCTGTGCCCTATATGCTCAGGATCAATACCAGTGATAGAGGAGATTCATCACCAGACACTTGCAAAGTGTTAATATGTCCTTCCCATGCCACCTCTAAGACACAGCACCTGTGGGCGCACAAGCCCCCATGCCCTGGCTGGGAGGGCTGCAGTCGGCCCCTGGCCTTCCCTGGGTACCAGCCCCAAACACACCTCATGTGATTATTGCTCCTTTTCAAGCTGGCTTCTCCTTTGTCCAAAGTCTCTTTATAATTCACAGTTACTGTTTAACCCAGCTGATGATCATCTTCCTCAGGTACTGCACCAGTCTGGGGCAAATACCCTCTCCAGCAGCTCCTGGGTGTTTACATGAGCAGGCTTATGGCTCACTTTTCTAGCTTTGCAGCTGCTGCTATTCAGGCCACCCGACCAAAAGGAGGGGTAGTGCAGGTCCCTTAACATTCACCCTTGTCCTCAAGAACATATGGTGCATAATCTTCTAATTAAAGCTAGATGAGCTACAGAAATAAAAGCAGGGATCTGGACTGCCTGGAGAGGCCACGCTGGATCCGAGGTTCTCCTACGCAGTGGCAGGGTAGACATTACAAGCTGAAGAGACATTACACCTGCACGAGACTGTGTGCTTTAGAAAGAGGAAATGACAAATCTTAGGGAGAATCACATCACCATTTAGCACCCAGAAGACAGTTTTAACATTACAGTCTATTAGTTCAGGAGAAGCATCTCAGCTTTTCATTTATGTCCATCTCTGAAATAGGCAAACTTTTTACAATTAGACTCATGCAACTATCTCAAAAGCCAGAGCATGCAACTTTGTGTAATTTTTTCCAGCATGTACTTGCTGTGCATTAGACCGAACAGACTCCTGAAAGCAACAATCCATGCTTTAAATACGTAACTTCTTGGTATAAAGGCAGCTACAAACATGTTTTTCATTTACACTGCGGTAACAAAATCAGAGCTAAATTGGAGCCTTAATAAAAAGAAATGAGTGCATGACTCACTATGTCCTCAATACTTTCAAAAGCTCCCATAGTATCATTCATGAGACCTCATTCTGACTCTCTTCAAGGTGTCAGGCACTCATCATTTATTTTTATAAACCAAAGTGTTTGCCAGGAGCTGCCTTTCCTTCATCAATACCCAGCTGCATCCCAGTCCAAACATCTGAAGGCTGACTGTGATTAACAGTGGCAATGTCTAAAGCAACCTTTGTGCAAATGCACCATTTCTATAATATCAAATGTAATACTAGTGCTTCAGCATATACTGACATTAAAATTAGTTGAAAAGAGAAAGTTTTATCAGCAAAACCTTTTAACTAGGCCTTTAACAGGAGCTTCATGATTCAGGTCCTAGACTGCTCACCGGTCTTTCTTACTTATATCACTCCATATACTCCAGTATGTATCTGTGACTTTATGAAAGCTACTGTGTTAATGTCGAATCATCTTTGGGCAGGGGTGATTCGTGTAACTACATCTCAGCAAGCAAACTCACCCCTATCAATTATATATTTGTTATAAGGTATGGTGCTCTATGTACTACATATTCCTAGTAGAGACATTTCCATCCAGATGCTGAACAGAGTTCTGCCTTCTCCACAGACACTGGGAGCACTGTCCTGAGTGGGACTCACAAGCGCAAACCCACAGGTTGGATTAAGTGTTCAACATTCTGTCACTGCCACACACCTCAGTCCCAGTGAAGGGATGCTTGCAGCCAACATGCAAGAAGGCTGCTGTGTGAGAATGGGAAAAAGGCTCTAGGTTTAATTACTGATTCCCTTCTCTTTGCTCTTTCTTTTGGCAAATCTGGTTCAGACAGAAGATATCTAATAGGTATCTACCTGTACCTAGTAGGTACTGGGGAACCAGAGCACTCCTCTATATTCATCTTTGCTCTCACTAATCTTTATTGAAGTATTGTTTTTCTCCTATAAAACAGCCAGAGAGATGGAATTATCTTTGGAATTCAGACTTGTACTTTTAGTAAAAGAAAAGGCTACACATAGGACCTTGCTTCTGCTAACATTAATGTTTATGCATGCATTTAATTCTCCTCACCTGAGTGCAACTGTGCATGTGCATTTGCAGAACTGGGGCCAAAATAATTAGAGTTTATACAAGACTTGAGACAGGGAAGTATTCCATTACCATGATGAATCCTTTAAGAGTGTTATAAAACAGTCAATTTCTCAGAATTAAATAGAATATTTGTTGCTAATCAAAGGTGAATAGTCTATATTTAATAGCATAAGAATATATAATATTTAACAGCTCCATAATCCATGGTTATTTTTATTTCACTAATGTTTATTGCAAATGGAAGAGAGAGAATGAGAAAGCCTTCCCTTATACTATCAGAGACACTTGGGTTACATTTTTACATTAGGTGGCACTAATACCCTATTAACTGGTATTAATGTAATATGCAGGAAGACTTCAATTTCATAAAGCTAATGTATAACTGTTACACTTCACAATGCATATAGTACAGTACTAAATGCAGGCTTTTCTAGAACTTACTTATACAAGTTATAATAACCTTCAGATGTTCTTTAGCACAACCAAGTCAGATCACGTTTTGAGATGTCGGGCAGTTTCAGAACCCTGGACCAGTCTCAGATGTCCAGTACATGTCTCTGTCCACTGCCACCATAAGGAATTGGTGTTAAATCAGATAATTAACTAATCTTCAATGGGATAGGTAGTAGAAAACAATTGCCAAGGGTACTATTTGCATCCAATTACAAAGTACCTTTTTATTACACACTAAAAGAGTTTCCTATCAATCAATTAAAAGGTGCAAAAGAATGTCATCTGCTGTAAAGAGTGATGTGGCACATACATATCGCAGTAAAGATGTCAAGTCTTGGTAAGCTTCACTACTGAGTTCACTGGGTTAGGGTCTGCGATTCCCTTCTGCAATGCAGCACATGCCCTGCCAAGCCCAGGCAGGGAGCTTGGTGAGCCACAGTAGAACTCCTGATTTCAGGTAAGTCACACTGGGATGGCAGGAAGGGGGAACCAAGAGGCAATCCTTTCAAAAAATACAGTAAGAGATGGCTGTACAGGCACGGTATTGCAACACTGAACCCTCTTAAGACCAGCTCCTGCATGGCAAGTACCTAAAGTGAGGTGTTAGCGTTGCCTGCCTTGTGTCTGGAGTAACTTGGGCACATCATGTGCTAGACAAGCTCACAAAGTGCAGGCTGGGCACAGTGGTTAGGAGTCTATAAATCCTGTAAGCCTGCTTCATGAAATGAAGCAGCACTAGGCTCCAAGCAGCAGGTCTGAGCACAAACATCATTTTATCCATGTAAGGATATCTGTAAAACAACTGTGACTTATTGTCCAAGTTTGATTTTGATTTAAAAGTCAAGTCCTCTATTTGCACCTGCTGATTCACATACTTCAGAGAAACCCAGGCACAGTGAACGGTGTCACAGACTGCTTGCCGTTCCCTGTTTAAACATACACGTGCTCCTACACATCTAAAGGCATTAGTGCTTTTCCACGGCACCTAGCACACAGGAAGGTGGGAAGCTGAGCATTCTTAAAGGCATTACTTAAGCGTGTCACCTGCCAAGGGTTCAAAGAAGTCAGATGGGCCCCCATTTTACA